AAATTTGTTTCGGAATGTTCAGAGAACGTTCAAAAGTAACGTTCCCATAATGTTACTTTTGAAAAATGGAATGTTCACTTAATGTTTGAATAACCAACGAAATAACCGTTTCATAACTTAATAAGAACATTAGCAAAACGTTCGTAGAACATTAAAGGTTGTTAAACGAGTGAGTGGTTTTGGACGGGCCGTTCGGCATAATAATATCCTCGTCTTCACCCTTCCCCCAGGAGCAGATATTTCAGGGCTGTTAATGATAAGGATAATGATACTCTGTGTATTTATCTTAGATTATGTGCTCGTTATGAGATTAATAACCCGGGGCGGCGAGTCTGCGGTCGACTTTCAAACAGAGGCAAGTCCGGGCAGCGTTCGAGAGTGCGCTTGTGTTCGGAGCGAGGTGCATTCCAGCCCGGCGTGTGGAGAGAAAAACACTGTATCTGGATTCTGATGAAAGTGTCTTGTGTGTGTGTGTGTGTGTGTGTTCTGTCAGATAATGAGCCGGGGCTTCAGGAGCACAGTCGTTTGGCACTCGCTTCGTTTCCTGCAAACATAACGTCGTCTTCTTCTCTGCCTCTCCTTTATTCCTGTGTCGAAGCGCAGAGCCGAGGGGTTTGTCGTAGTTTAGGTTTGTGCTCATCGGAGGAAGTGCCTCGTGCGGTTACAGCAAATATTCCACAGTCATTCCCTCTAGTGCTCTAGCAACCTGATACAAACTGTTTATTCTGCTTGAAAATAATCCTCATTTTCTGTGAGAATTAAAGAAGAGTGTCATTTTAGTATTATTATCACCCAGTCTGTTGTGATTGGTCTACTCTGCTCTGATTGGTCAGATGACCCAGTCTGTTGTGATTGGTCTGCTCTGATTGGTCAGATGGCCCAGTCTGTTGTGATTGGTCTGCTCTGATTGGTCAGATGACCCAGTCTGTTGTGATTGGCCTACTCTGCTCTGATTGGTCAGATGACCCAGTCTGTTGTGATTGGTCTGCTCTGATTGGTCAGATGGCCCAGTCTGTTGTGATTGGTCTGCTCTGATTGGTCAGATGACCCAGTCTGTTGTGATTGGTCTACTCTGCTCTGATTGGTCAGATGGCCCAGTATGTTGTGATTGATCTGCTCTGATTGGTCAGATGGCCCAATATGTTGTGATTGGTCTGCTCTGATTGGTCAGATGGCCCAATATGTTGTGATTGGTCTGCTTTGATTGGCCAGGTGGCCCAATATGTTGTGATTGGTCTGCTTTGATTGGCCAGATGGCCAAGTCTGTTGTGATTGGTCTGTTCTGATTGGCCAGGTGGCCCAATCTGTTGTGAATGGTCTGCTCTGATTGGCCAGATGGCCAAGTCTGTTGTGAATGGTCTGCTCTGATTGGCCAGGTGGCCCAATATGTTGTGATTGGTCTGCTTTGATTGGCCAGATGGCCAAGTCTGTTGTGAATGGTCTGCTCTGATTGGCCAGGTGGCCCAATATGTTGTGATTGGTCTGTTCTGATTGGCCAGATGGCCCAATCTGTTGTGAGTGGTCTGCTCTGATTGGTCAGATGGCTCAGTCTGTTGTGATTGGTCTACTCTGCTCTGATTGGTCAGATGGCCAAGTCTGTTGTGAATGGTCTGCTCTGATTGGTCAGATGGCCCAATATGTTGTGATTGGTCTGTTCTGATTGGCCAGATGGCCCAATCTGTTGTGAGTGGTCTGCTCTGATTGGTCAGATGGCCAAGTCTGTTGTGATTGGTCTGCTCTGATTGGTCAGATGGCCAAGTCTGTTGTGATTGGTCTACTCTGATTGGTCAGATGGCCCAATATGTTGTGATTGATCTGCTCTGATTGGTCAGAATTGGTTATTCAGGAGACAATAACTATAGTGGACCATCAAAATAAAGTGTTACCATTTTACCTATTACTAAAACAATATTTTTTAAATAAATACAATTTTAGTGAAAATGAACACTGGTGTATCAACGTTACAGCAGAACTGTGTCTATCATTAATAAGCCCGTATGACATGAGAACAGTTTCCTGCTGATATTGATAACGATGCAGTGTGTTTTTGTTATCTCAGGTGAACGTCTCTGATAAACGGCACACACGTGATCTTATCAGCTTCTATCTGAATCGGCCTCTTTGTGTTTACGTGTATGTTCTCCTGCATCATGGGGGCTGGAGTGAGTGAAAGCGAAGCGTGTGAGCAGAGGGCTGATGCGGGTGAGTTCAGATGACAGCGGCGCCCCTATAAAACACAGTCAACGTCTCAGTTCACCAAACTATAAGACATTAGTGCAGTGAACGGGCGACTGTCATTCATCACAGCAGCAGGGCTCGACCTTTAACAGCACAAACTAAACAAAAAGCTCATTTTTGACCAAAAATAGCCAAAGATTCATTTTATCTTTATCTAGTTGAAGTTGAAATATCTTTAATGTCCCCAAGGGGCAATTTAGTTCACAACAGGTAGCCAACACATACACATTTACACAAAAACAGATAAAAACATGAGATAATAAATAGATAAAAAAAAAAAAACATAAATAACATGTCCTATAGTTTGTTGAGAAACCCAACAGCTAATGGTACAAATGATTTCAAATATCTATTGGATCTGGCACGATCTATTATAATTATGCTTGACAATAATTTATTTATAATTTTTTTATTATTTAGTATGTTTTTTCTTGCATTCCTGAATCATTTCTCTCCACTCGGACAAAAAAAATGGTGTAGGATTTACTTTGAAACAGTTTTAACTAATTTATTTACATTTACTTAAAAAGAAAAATGACTGAATGAAGATATTAAGTCTTATTTTCTAAATTAATTATCAAAATGAAGTAAGTTTATGCATAAAATAAGAAAAATATCTAGTAGGGTTAGAAAAATAATATTGTTTTCCTTTGAAGTAAGATTATTTTTCTGACCCCACTGGCAGATATTTTTCTTATTTTATGCATAAGAAAACCAGAATAAAAATCTTCAGTCATGTGTCTTCTCCAGTAAATGTATCTGGATTTATGAATGTTTAGATATGTGTGCTGGAAAGTAAGACAGAACATCATGTTATGTAGTGTGTGTGTGTGTGTCACTGCTGTCACTCTGCATTCAATCTGTTGTTTGTGTCATATATTTCATCATGGGCGCTCTGATGGATGTTTTTATTCTGTTCCTCATAAGATGTCTCATTAAGAGCTCATAAATCACATCACAACATTGTGTATGTTTTTAATAATGCAGTTGAATGCAGCGTGTAATACACACGTGTGGACTGCACTCAGATGAACTACACTGAACACGGACAAAGTCATTTTCTGCCATTTACAGTTTATGGACCCTAAAACTCACTGCAATGCTTGCTGCGATTATGGTGAATCATGGTGATTTCATTTGTGAGTGTGAACATATTTGGGCCATTTTTGCTCATTACAGACAGTCAATATTGTGTGAGGTCAAGGGTCATGCATGCAATCATTCAGGAGTGTGTCAGCTATAATTGCAATTTCCATCGTTAACAACGATTTGGCGTTTTTTTAAACTATAGTTCCAGCAAACTTCATTGCAAACTTTCGACCCGTGGTTAGAAGTGGGGATGCTAACAGTTAATCGATGATCTATAGTCTCTAGCGACTATATAGATCCAGTTTCCATTGTGTTGGATGCTGTGTGTCATGATTCAATTGCTTTAGCAAAGCAGCATGTCAATGACACTCCGTGACCTATCACGCGCTGTCTAATGTTGTGTTTGGGCTCGTTACACACCACCTGCTCTAAATCAAGATATGCTACTGATGTACTTATAATTCGCTACGTTACAAACCAAAACATGCATGCAAAAAGCATCACATGTACACTTGCTTGGTTGATTTATAGTCATTTATAGTTTTTTCAATTAATCATTTTAGTGCTTTAACTTGAACTTATATCACTGTATTGCTAAGCCAACATGACTAATTTTCGCTTAGTTTAAGTTTTTCAAATAATATTTAAGTTTCATTTTATTTCAGAAATTGTCTTGTTTATGAATTGTGCATTGCGTTACCACGAAAAACGGTACTTTAAAACATTTTAGCGGCTCAATTTTTTAATTTTGGAACATGGTTGGTCATAAGGCTTTGATTTTCTTGTAGTTTTCTTTATTGTATGAAAAATTGTTTAGTTAACCTCAACTTCTATAACTTTTTTGCGCATTCATTTTCTTGAAGTGCAATAAACTTAGTTAAATCAAGATTTACTCAAGAAGCAAAATGATTTTGATAAAAATATGCTTTAAAGGGATAGTTCACAAAGGGAAGTTTTAGCGTACCTCAAGGAGATCCATGATGTAGATGTCTTCAATTTTGATATTTTTAGGTCAAACCGTTCATATAATGGAGGTCTATGGTCACCACCTCAAAGAGCATGCACAGAGAAGTCCAAATTAAACATGATTTAATGACTCGTAAATGTAAGTGCACATTGATGACCTAAGACACGAAACGAGCGGTTTGTGTGAGAAAACGAACAGTATTTATATCGTTTTTACCTCTTGTAACCACAGCCATGTCCAAGTGATCTGAGGGCGCGGGTGCTTTTGTGGCTAAAACAAAATTTAAATACTGTTCGATTTCTCACACAAACCGCTCGTTTCATGTCTTAGGCCATCAATGTGTACTTACATTTACGAGTTATTAAATCATGTTTAATTTGGACTTGTCTGTGCATGCTCTTTGAGGTGGTCACCATAGACCTCCATTATATGAACGGTTTGACCTAAAAATATCAAAATTGAAAATACTGCGGAAACAAAGACACCTACATCTTGGATGCACTTGAGGTACGCTAAAACACACCAAAGATTAATTTCTGACCCTATCGGCAGACATTTCACTTGTTTTAAACATTTTATAGAGACTAAAATAAAATTTTGCTTCTCCAATAAATGTATCTTGATTTCATATCTATTTGTACTGAAACACTAAGAAAGTGTTCAATTCCCACACTTCATCAGTTTTCATGTCTTCCTCTCTTGGCAGACTTTCTCTCAAGCTGGAAGACAGAAACATGGGCGGGAAAGGAGGACGCACCCCATCATGCCTCCTGCCTCTTCTGCTGGTAAGTCCCATCAACCCCACTAAATGGAGCCGTCCCATTAAGCCAGACGACGTCCAAAAGCGACTACAAAGGTGTCTTTGAGCGTCAGGTTAATCTGTCTCCTCGCGCTCGCCCTCCTCCTTCATGTTTGCAACACCGAATCCATCTGGCTGCCTTCCCAGAACTTAATTTCCCAGCGCAGCGTCTTAATGATAGGCTTTTAATGCCCTTCCAAAGAGCTGTGAGATACACAAACGACAGGTTAGCTGCAAGTGAGAGAAGATCTGTATAATCCCGCTTATTATGACTAAATCGGCCCTTAGTGTCAATTGAGCCTTTGTTGAAGGAGAAACTGCTGCCATTTCATTACATCTAGAGCGTTATATCTATACAGCTCTATACCACGCAACCAAAGGCTGCAAACCTGCCGTGATGTTCATTCACTGACTATAGAGAGACTTCTAAAGCAGCATGATGTCATGTCTAATGATCTAGAACAATTCAAGTCAACTCTATGTACACGACCAGACAAAATGAGGTGTTTTTGTACAAATATCTATGAGAGAAAATCGCTCTGAAGCTTGTCTAGTTGTCACACACATGCCAGATGACGAAACTTAGCGTATTTACTAGTAATCAGACACTGTATAGAGAAATATTCGTGCCTAAATTTAAAAATCTTTGTCAGATATCACTGTATCTTTATTTAACCGTAGCAAAAACAAATTTCTTAAGTACATTTTTCATCTCTGTTTTTGTGTTTGTTTAAAATTAGACAAATCTGATATTGTTTTTAATCTCTGTTTTTTTGTGTTTATTTAAAATTAGACGAATCTGATATTATTTTTCATCTCTGTTTTTGTGTTTATTTAAAATTAGACAAATCTGATATTATTTTTAATCTCCTTTTTTGTGTGTTTATTTAAAATTAGACAAATCTGATATTATTTTTAATCTCCTTTTTTGTGTGTTTATTTAAAATTAGACAAATCTGATATTATTTTTAATCTCCTTTTTTGTGCGTTTATTTAAAATTAGACAAATCTGATATTATTTTTAATCTCCTTTTTTGTGTGTTTATTTAAAATTAGACAAATCTGATATTATTTTTAATCTCTGTTTTTGTGTGTTTGTTTAAAATTAGACAAATCTGATATTGTTTTTAATCTCTGTTTTTGTGTGTTTATTTAAAATTAGACAAATCTGATATTATTTTTAATCTCTGTTTTTGTGTGTTTATTTAAAATTAGACAAATCTGATATTATTTTTCATCTATTTTTGTGTGTTTTTTTTAAATTAGACAAATCTGATATTATTTTTAATCTCTGTTTTTGTGTGTTTATTTAAAATTAGACAAATCTGATATTATTTTTCATCTCTGTTTTGTGTGTTTTTTTAAATTAGACAAATCTGATATTATTTTTCATCTCTGTTTTTGTGTTTATTTAAAATTAGACAAATCTGATATTATTTTTAATCTCCTTTTTTGTGTGTTTATTTAAAATTAGACAAATCTGATATTATTTTTAATCTCTGTTTTTGTGTGTTTATTTAAAATTAGACAAATCTGATATTATTTTTAATCTCTGTTTTTGTGTTTTTTTTAAATTAGACAAATCTGATATTATTTTTAATCTCTGTTTGTGTGTTTTTTTTAAATTAGACAAATCTGATATTATTTTTAATCTCTGTTTTTGTGTTTTTTTTAAATTAGACAAATCTGATATTATTTTTAATCTCTGTTTGTGTGTTTTTTTAAATTTAGACAAATCTGATATTATTTTAATCTTAAATGTGTTATTTAACAGTTGAGATCGTGTTTTAATGCTTCGCTAAACCAGCAGAAACACTCGTCGCGTTTAAACCCTAGTTGCGGGGCATGTTGTCACACAGCGTTACAATGATCCTCAATTAGAACTATGATATTCTATTCTATACTTTTATTAATTCTATTGAGAAACCATGAGAATAAAGACTGAGAGTCCATGTTCAGAAATTATTAATAATTATTATGCAGTATAGCTGTGTTTTCCGATGTGTTTGTTGTCAATCTTTGTAATCATTAAAAAATGGCATTATTTTACATGGAAAAAGTTAAAAATTGTATTTTATTGACAAAATATTTCATTTCATTTGTTTGTCTCGTATATTGTATTTGATTAGATCAGATAACATTTTAATCTGTCCTATCTGGTCGTGTTACAATGAACCCCACCTAAGGGGCATGTTGTCACATTTCACTTTAATGAAACAAAACCACATAATTGTGTGAAATTAATGCGGGAACAAATAAATACTCTGAGTCTGAACCCTAAGTAGGTTTACAGAAACTCTCTCCTTCAAATAAACATGACTTGAGCTAGAAGTGTGTTAAAAACATGCAACAAACACATGCTATTACGCAACGTAGGGGTGAACCACTATTGATGATGCATGATTCGCCTGCGTTTCTAAGATTATGAGCAGATGGCCGTTTGAGATCTGCATTAAACTCATCCTGTGAACTGGAGCTAGACCACAAAGCATCTCATTCAGCCAGAGCCAATCAACATCCAGCTCCGCCCACACGTTTAATTACATTCCTGCTTCAGTCGCGGCGTTTGGCAGCTCAGCGAATCTGCCGTGATTCATCTGTTCGTCGATCTGTGTTGAGTTACAGCGGCCAAACGCTCCCCGTGTGCTAATTCACAGCTTGAAACAAAAGCGAACGAGGGAGCGAGAGTGTTGAAACGCCTGTGAGGGGGACAGAGCCAAAATCCACAAACAACAAACTTGTTGTTTCACCTCGATTCACATCGGGTTACTTCATCCAGTGAACGTGATTTATGTTTGGGGAAATGAAACCGGAGGAGGCCGGCGGACAGTCTGACTGTGAGCTTCAAACTCTGTTATTTGGTTAGGAAGGCGATACGCTCGTCACTGATGTTTACAATCACAAACTCAATGTTGGCCCTCATGTCGTCCCGACCGCCGTTCAGTTTAAGATATTTTAGATTTAGTGCGAGAGCTTCATTGGAAATGTGTGTACGGTGTACTGTCCTTGTCCAGAAAGGAAATAAAGACATCATCAAAGCAGTCATGTGACATCAGTGGGTTAGTTACAATGTTTTGAAGCACCGGAAATACATTTTGGTCCAAAAATAACACAAACTACGACTTTATTCAGCACTGTATTGTGATTTTTCAAGCCGATCTATTCACAATTCATCACAGCAGTCATTCAATCCGCAGCTTATTTTAGTGTACACTCTCAGAAAAAAAGGTACAAAAGCTGTCACTGGGGCTGTATCTTTTCAAAAGGTACACTTTTGTACCTAAAGGCTGCGTATTGGTACCTTAGTGGTACATTTAAGCACCTAAAATGTATATATTGACGCCTAAAATGTACTTAACTCCTGAAATGTACATATTAACACTTTAAATGTACATATATTAGCACTTAAAATATACATATTAGGACCTAAAATGAACATATTAGGACCCAAAATGGACATATTTGTGCCTAAAATGTACATATTAGGACAAAATGTACATATTAACAACTAAAATGTACTTTTTAGCACCTAAAATGTACATATGAACACCTAAAATGCACACATTAGCACCTAAAATGCACACATTAGCACCTATAATGTACATATGAACACCTAAAATGTACATATTAACACCTAAAATGCACATATTAGCACCTAAAATGTACATATGAACACCTAAAATGCACATATTAGCACCTAAAATGTACATATTAACACCTAAAATGTACATATTAGCACCTAAAATGTACATATGAACACCTAAAATGTACATATGAACACCTAAAATGCACACATTAGCACCTATAATGTACATATGAACACCGAAAATGTACATATTAGCACCTAAAATGCACACATTAGCACCTATAATGTACATATGAACACCTAAAATGTACATATTAGCACCTAAAATGCACATATTAGCACCTAAAATGTACATATGAACACCTAAAATGCACATATTAGCACCTAAAATTAACACCTAAAATGTACATATTAGCACCTAAAATGGACATATTAGCACCTAAAATGTACATATTAACACCTAAAATGTACATATGAACACCTAAAATGCACACATTAGCACCTATAATGTACATATGAACACCTAAAATGTACATATTAGCACCTAAAATGTACATATTAACACCTAAAATGTACATATTAGCACCTAAAATGTACATATTAGCACCTAAAATGTACATATGAACACCTAAAATGCACATATTAGCACCTAAAATGCACATATTAGCACCTAAAATGTCTATATTAGCACCTAAAATGTACATAGGAACACCTAAAATGTACATATTAGCACCTAAAATGTCTATATTAGCACCTAAAATGTACATATGAACACCTAAAATGCACATATTAGCACCTAAAATGTACATATTAGCACCTAAAATGTACATATTAACACCTAAAATGTACATATTAGCACCTAAAATGTACATATGAACACCTAAAATGTACATATGAACACTTAAAATGTACATATGAACACCTAAAATGGACAAAAGTTTACCTTTTGAAAAGGTACAGCCCCAGTGACAGCTTTTGTACCTTTTTTTCTGAGAGTGTACTAGATTGAGATATTAAAACCAGTCTGAATCTAATTTCCCCAAACTCTTGGGTTGTTCCCCAGGTTGCATTGTTTGCTGAAATAATAAAAGTGTGTGTGTTGTTTGCAGGTGTCCAGCATGTCTTTTGTGAGAACCGAGTACTCGAGCTGTGGAGAGAATGAGTTTTACAATCACACAATCAGCAGTTGCCAACCCTGCCCACAATGCCAAGCGGGACATGAGCCCTACATGGTGAGAAACACACACACACACACTCGCATAAAAACAGGACCAAAAACATCCACACACAACAGGGCTTAATTTCATCCCAGACGTGATCATTCCCAGCGAATTCATGGACCGATAAATTGTGCACATTCAATGCAATGTCAGTCGCTTTGGATAAAAGCATCTGGCAAATGCATAAATGTAGAAATGTACAGTTCAAGTCTCCAGAAACACCTGAAAACTATCATAACACTGACACAACATCAATCAAATATCACAGCCAATCAGAAAAGCCTGTGGGCGGAGTCTCTGCAAACGCACTGCATTTTAACATTATTAAAAACGAAATCTTTATCATAGAATAATCTTGTTTGTTCAGTTTGAACGTCGTTTTTTTCCTTTATTTTTGAGATCTGAGGTGAATTATCCGCTGTGGCTTTCATTACAGCTGTAAATTGTATTCCAACTCGCATTCAGTTATTTTAACACGCATTTACACGTGAAACTCGAAAAAAAAATCAATAACGTGCAAAAGTTAAAAGGAGAAACTGATATATATTATATAGACTCATTACATGCAAAGCGAGATATTTCAAGCCTTTATTTGTTATAATTTTAAAGATTGTATGAAAACCCCAAATTTATAAGGTTTTCATAATCATGACAAATAAAGGGTTGAAAATCTTACTTTGTATGTAATGAGTCTATATAATATATTAATTTTGAACTTTTAAGTTGAATTACTGAAAATAAATGAACTTTTGCACAATATTATATTTTTTCCAGTTTCACCTGTAAATGAGAAGACTTCACTTTGAAATTAATTTTTGGTGTGTTTTATCTTACCTCAAGGGCATCCAAGATGTAGGTGTCTTTGTTTCCACAGTATTTTAAATTTTGATATTTTTAGGTCAAACCGTTCACATAATGGAGGTCTATGGTCACCACCTCAAAGAGCGTGCACAGAGAAGTCCAAATTAAACATGATTTAATGACTCGTAAATGTAAGTACACATTGATGGCCTAAGACACGAAACGAGCGGTTTGTGAGAGAAAACAAACAGTATTTATATCGTTTGTTTTAGCCACAAAAGCACCCGCGCCCTCAGATCACTTGGACGTGGCTGTGGTTACAAGAGGTAAAAACGATATAAATACTGTTGGTTTTCTCACACAAACCGCTCGTTTCGTGTCTTAGGCCATCAATGTGTACTTACATTTACGAGTCATTAAATCATGTTTAATTTGGACTTCTCTGTGCATGCTCTTTGAGGTGGTGACCATAGACCTCCATTATATGACTGACAGACAAGAACGGTTTGACCTAAAAATATCAAAATTGAAAATACTGCGGAAACAAAGACACCTACATCTTGGATGCCCTTGAGGTAAGATAAAACATACGAAAGATTTATTTCAAAGTGATCTATCCCTTTAACTACTGATATAATGGTGCTTTATTAGACAAAAAAGAAAGCCGCATGACAGTTCTTCAGACAATCAGAAAAAGATCAGCATGCATGTTTGGAACGACCTGAGACTCGATCCGAGGTGAAGCGTTGGTGTGTATCCCGAGGCCACCCAGACTGCAGCGGCGTCAAATGGCACATCAAAAGATCTCCAGTGTTTAAAGAGACAGCGTGCGGCACTTTGAAAAGACAAGTTCAAGAGGATGAACTAAAGTTAAATAACATAACAAAACAAAAACAAGTCACCTAATTCAAAACAACACACACACCTCTACAAAAATCCATTTAGCATTAATAAATATAATCATAGGTATAACATCTAATGCAATGCTTTAACTAACATGCTGGAAAAAATAAATAATATCTACCAATGTGGTAAAAAAAAATTAATTCAGTCATTTTTCTGACCCCCTTTTTTGTAGCAAAAACTTTGATAATTTTATTATCTAATTTTATTAATTTTAATTATTTTATAATAATTATAATTATTTAATTTCATAATAATTTATATATATATATAATTTATATAATTTTAATTATAATTTTATAATTATTATTTTCCAGAAAACAAGACTTAATATGCTTTGATATAAGAATGATTAGACATTTGTTTGAAAATAATTTTTCCATCAGAATCGTTGTTTCTGAAAGCAAATGAAAATGAATTCCAGCTAAATGATGCACCACAACGATTACAGAAATAAGTGTATTTGTGCATGATTATACCTCAGTGATTGTTTGGAGTGTAAAATGGTCCTGGCATAGAGCGTCCTCCTCACTTCTACTTTCGCCTGTAATTGAAATGAGCTGTGATCTAAATCAAACTGCTCAGAAACATGCTTTTAAAGCACATGAAACAGATCTCTTGAGGCAGCAGCTCATAAAGATCCTGCTGTAAATCATGAAGGAAGAGGAACTTCAAAGTTCGAGTGTTGAAATCCTAGAAGAGTTCAGAAGCGCTGGAGAACGGTGAGCCAGACCCCGGGACTCAAGGGGGCGATAGAGTTTCCAAACCTGACCGAGGGAGGCGGGAAGAACCGAATTCAGGTACTTCGGACCAAAGCGAGTCAATATTACTGGATTAAAGTGATCACAAGGATTAGTTCGTCACAAGGACTACTTGTATTCTGCACAATGAAAATAAAGTTAAATCTAATTTAATGATTTTTAATTTATTGATATTTTTGGTTCCATTAAAAATAACCTTTCAGTGATCAAGAAAAGGATGAGACTGAGGAAGAGCTGAAATTCAGATATGATAATGGCTGTTTGATTTCGGACACGCGCTGTAAGCAGTCGACCAATCACAACAGACTGGACCATCTGACCAATCGGAGAAGAGTAGACCAATCACAGCAGACTGAGCTGTCTGACCAATCAGAGAAGAGTAGACCAATCACAACAGACTGAGCTGTCTGACCAATCAGAGAAGAGTAGACCAATCACAACAGACTGAGCTGTCTGACCAATCAGAGCAGAATAGACCAATCACAACAGACTGAGCTGTCTGACCAATCAGAGCAGAATAGGCTCTTGAAAAGGCGGGGTTTAGAGAGACTGAATCTTTGAACAAACCGTTTCAGACACTGAGAAAACAGCTGATTCTGCTATGTATATTATGAGAAAATATCACAGGAATAAAATAATTACACTTAACAATATTTTCACATAGAAAACTTACATTTTAAATTATAGCCTAAAAATATTTTTAAAAAGAAAATACTATATTTTTGATCACACAAACACAGCCTCGGTGAGCAGAAGAGACTTTAAACAATCTTACCGATCCCGAAACTTTTGAAGAGTCGTGTTAAAAGAAGATCATGCATCGACTTATGATGTCAAAGACGTAACACACGCACGACACACATTTATTAATAAGGTCTCATTATTTAACATTAGCTAATGCATTAACTAACATGTTGTTCATTGCAGTATTTATTAATCTTTGCTAATGTTAGATAATAAAAATACAACAGGTCATTGTTAGATCATGTTAATTAATAAACCTTACAGTAAAGTGTAAAGATTTACTGTTAATTCAGTGTGGAACTGAAATACATGTTTAACCGTATTCTGGACAAATGTGGACAAAATAATTTTGATTTATTTATTTTTTTAAATACTTCCCTTGATCTGAGCGGTACAAGACTTTTTTTTTTTTTGACTCAATTCTACAATGTTAATTGGGTGAAAAAAACTCCTTAATCTTGTATTTGGGTCAAAAATGGGCACCCATAGAAATGAAATGAAATGAAATGAAATGAATGGGAAAAACTGTAATTTAGAGCATTCTAAAATAAGCCAAAATAACAGCAAAGTCACTTTATCTTTAGGTTTTAGCTCTGAGGAACTTATTGGAATGATATTTTAATGTAGTTTAAAAAAAAATAATAAAACATAAAAGAAAATATGGTACTTTTTGAAGTAAATAAATTCAAAAATTCCCCCAAAATTAAAAAAAACACCATAAATGGATAGGCAAAACTTTATCGAAGACAATGATATAACATTTATTATAAATAAATATTAGGATCACACCTGAGTTCTCTGTGCCCACATTTGTCCACACATAAAGTGAATACGGTTTGAGGGCTTTTTGTCAGTAGTTTACATTATTTCTGAATGTAATAATAAAATATCACTTATACACTGTTTTTTTCTTCTCTTAACAAAAATTATTTTCCGGGAAAATATGAATCTTTTAAAAACTATTACAACAGTAAAAGCCACTGCATTCCTGAACAACTCAATAACACTCGTGCCCTCGGGCCAAAGATGATCTCCATTCAGTCCAACGAGATAAAAGACTTTTCCGCTTTAAACCACGTTTTACTCCCCGTGTGTGTGTGTTCTTTCAAAAGTCAATAAACTGGAGCGAATGCATGTTGGGGTAAATGTCAGAACTGAGAAGGACTTTTCAATAAGTTTAAACCGGAGCAGATGCGAGTACCAACATCTCGATCTCTTTCATCTCTGCTTTCCTCTTCAAAAATCGATCCTGGAGGCCAAAAGAACAAAGAGATTCATCCCTGCCCACCGAAGACGCGTAAACGACTCATTACGCTAATTAAGAGCTCAGCGCTTCCACACTGACGAGAACAGACGGAGATGACAAGAAAATAATAGTAAAGCTGGAACGGCCTCGGGAGACGCTTTCATCCTGACACCTCGCAGCTTTAAGACAAATCGATAACTATTGAAAGATTTGAAGCAATTGCAATACAAAATTGATGTGTTTTTGTCTCGTTTTGTTCTTGTTTTAAACATAAACTCACTTAAATGTTGATCATTTTTTTTCAAGTTACCATTAGGTTAATGTTACCTAATAAAAATACAGCTGTTTATTGTTAGTTCACAGTCCAGTATCAAACCTTTGATTTTAATAACGTATTAGTACATGTTGAAATTAATATTAACTAGGATTAATAATTGCTTTAATGAACCTTATTTAAGCTTCTCCAGTAAATGCATCTTAATTTAAAGGAGTAGTTCACTTTTAAAAAAAAACTTTTGCTGATAATTTACTCACCCCCATGTCATCCAAGATGTCCATGTCTTTCTGTCTTCAGTCGAAAAGAAATTAATGTTTTTGATGAAAACATTCCAGGATTTTTCTCAATATAATGGACGTCAATGGGGTCCAAACGGTTCAAGGTCCAAAAGACAGTTTCAGTGCAAACTGTTCATCAAAATGAATTAATCTTTTCCAGAGTCAACTCGTTCATGAACCAAATGACACGAAAAAAGATATGTTTATTTAGATGAACGAGTTCGAACAGGAGAGTCATGAACAGAGCAAGGTGAGCATTTGAGCTTGTAAAACTTAAACTTTTATTTATTAAATGAGCGATCGTTTAGCTTGATAAGACCCTTATTCATCATCTGGAATTGTTTAAAGCCCTTTGAAGCTGCACTGAAACTCTCATTTTGAACTGTTTGGTCCCCATTGAAGTCCATTATATGGAGAAAATCCTGGAATGTTTTAATCAAAAACCTTAATTTCTTTTCGACTGAAGAAAGAAAGACATGGACATCTTGGTTGACATGGGGGTGAGTAAATTATCAGCAAAAGTTTTTTTTTAAAGTGAACTACTCCTTTAAGAATGTTTATATATTAGTGCTGGATATTGAAGGAAAAGCATCATCAAATATAAGAGATTTAGTGTGTGTCACATCATGTTTTGGTCACCGCATCATCATTCCCAGATTTCCCAGATTATTCTAACATGTGCAAAAGAATCAGAATAAGGAGTGAGTGTATTTGGATGGGGATTCTGAAATGCGCTGATATGAACCGTCAGTGTAAAGCAGATCATCTCCAGATCTAATATGAGTGCGGTCAGAGCGCTCGCGGGTGGGATGTTTGCTCACGAATGTTTCTCGTTATCCGGCACAGGCGCGGGACAGCTCTGGCAGGTCGAGTCTTTAGCGCTGAACTCGCGCAGCTGGCTAATATTCACTGATTAAAACCAACTGGGTTTTTAGTGAAGTGCAATGATTCTTTTCTGAAGGTCACATCAGTTAAAGCATCACAGCTTTATTTCTACAGCGCTTCATACTATAGGCTACAGGACACAAACAACGACGCAAACTTCATCAAACATGAGACCGATTCAGCTTTAAAGTGTCAATTCAGATCAGTGTTGATTCATAGTGTCAAAATGTTATGAAAAACGTTCTCTGAATTTTTAAGAGGTAAACGTTTGTTCTTCTTGGTTAGGCGAACATTCCAAAATAGAACATTCCATTCTGCGAACAGTATTGGAATGTTACATTTGAATGTTCTTTGAACATCCTGAAACAAGTAACATTTTAAAAATAATGATAAACATGTAAATAAAACCTTCCATTAACGTTTTGAGAACTTTTCACATAACCTCGCCAGTTCTCGGTTCAGTCAAATCAATAATATTACTAAATATTAAAGGTTAGATTTACTAACAGATTGTTCCAGCACAAACACAAACTAACAAGTAGAATAACAACTTTCAACACATTTAAATGCAGTTTAGTGCGATAGTGTAACGTTAGAGCAAGTGAAGCGGCGCCGCGTTCCCTCACAAGATTAAGTCGTCTAATAAATCCAGCACTCGCGGGTGGTTTGGTAGAATGAAATATCCTTATTCCTTTATATACGCGTGTGATATCAGTCTCTTTAGCAATCGCGACCTGCTTCATACCACTGTAATGTTAAACATAAGCATCCATAAACATTATTAGATCCATCAGCTTGACAGCAAGTCCCATCATTCAGCTCGTCACTGCGTCGTCAACCTACGCCTGTGTTATGATGGAAACTGCGCCCTCTTGTGGCCAAAAAACGACATATTGTGCCTTTAAATAGATAAATCATTTATAATAAATACTGCAATATTCCATGAACTTATTTCACTCGGATAGTATTATATTAGTATGAATTTATTACGAATTAGTATGTCACAATGGGGAAGACTAGACTAGTGGAAATTTAAATAAATGCCGAGTTTGAAGACCAGCCTTAATTTAAAATAGAAATACATGTGCTGTGATATTATCTCATTCTTAAGGACTTTCATGCATTTTCATTTGAGCATTAGGGCCAGATTAGCCTACTAACAGCTTGCTCCCGCACAAACCCTCTTCTGGCGTTATAAGTGCTGTCAGGATTTACTAAAGACACACTGAAGAGTTAGCGCTGGAACGGTTATTATTGCAGGAGTTTGTGTTTATTATTGCAGGAGTTTTGTGTTTTATGTTAGTTGAGTTAGTTAGTCACTAGGGCTGGGTAACAAACATCGATTTCTCGCTATTAATCGATTCTCATTTTTACGAACCAATATCGATTCTTAAATCTCAAGATTCGATTAGTCATCCTGTTTCATTTGAATGAATGTAAACAGTCTCGCGGCTGCGCGCATCCAAAAAAATCGCAATAATCTTTGTCCTTTGTTTCTATTGATATGAAACAAAGTCTAAATTTTCAAATCACGTCCATTTTCATAGAAATTCAAAAACATAAATAGCGTTTTGGCGCTGTGGCGTGAGATCGCTCTGGCGGAGCTCACTTCCGGGTTAATAATACCAGTCACAGCGCGAAATAAACATGAATGAGCATCTGAAAGTGAGTTAAAAGATAGAGTACAACTTATCGAAATCCGAATAATGTCACATTGATTCGCTCAATCAGCGTTTCAACCGTGGAAAGACGTCAGTTAAACAGCTTGTAATCAATGTCATCGTCATATTTACCTCAGAAAACCCACATAAACTCGTTAGTCAGCTAGAAAAAATAACTAGAGAGGAGCATTTTGCTAAATATATACACCATATTACATATGGATTATAATCTTAATGTTCTTCAATATTGAATGCATATTTGAATAAATCTGGCAAGTTTTAATGACAGCCACCATTTAAATGTTTATATTTCATATAATCTTCTTCCTATTATAAAAATAAATAAAAGTGTAATTTAAGTGTTTGTATAGCTACAAAAAAGTTCATTATTACCTTCATATTAGGCTAATGAAGCCTATAGGCTACAACTAGACTCCCATACTTTACAGCATTAGTTAAGAGATTTGATTCCCTTGAGAAAATTAGCCATTTATTGTAACTGATATCCAAAATAATCAATATTGGATCGAATCGAATTGCAAGCTTGTGAATCGAATCGAATTGTGAAATTTGTGTCAATACCCAGCTCTAAATTTTGCGTCATTTTTAACACCGAAACTAAAGATACAAAACAACAAAAATGATTTCTATGAAGTATATTTTGTGACGGACCTTAAAGCAACACTAAGTAAGATTTTTTACCTTAAAATAATGTTTCCAAAATGGTTATTAAGTTGTAACAGGGTGAAAGGCACTTATGAATTCGCTTTGCGGTCCTATATCTGCCAAAACCATCGAGTCGCGTTTCTGTAGTTCTAACGAGACATAAGAAAACTACAAATTTGACTTTCTTTACGTCAAGCATTACAATAGTCATTATTTTGTTTCTCTTCGCTTCATCAAATATTGTTTCCACAGAAATCAGAAAACAAAAAACTGTTAGTCACGTTAGTTTGTGTTTCAGACGCAGTGTTGATGTGAGGAGGAGAGGATGCAATGATTTGCTCTCGTCAGTTTACGCCATTATTTACCCGCCCAATAAAAGCCCGTCTTCACCCCGACGCTGATGCGCTGCTCTTGTGGATTGTGTTGGTCATTATGGAAATGATCCGGCTGCGTCTGAGCCGATTTTATGGATTTCGCCCTGTTTAGTAAATCTGGCCCTACATGTCTGTAAATAGTGTTTGTTTCTGTTTGTATTCCAGTTGTGATGCGATATATTTCTTGGACTCGGTCTGTGTGTTTGTTCTTCTATATAAACTAAAAATATTATGATGATGATGATGGTGGTTTTTAAAGCCCTATTAGTGACACAGATGTGTGTGTGTGTGTGTTTCAGAGCTGTGGTTACGGCACGAAGGACGAGGAGTACTCGTGTGTGGCGTGTCCGGCGGGGAAGTTCTCCAAAGGGAAGTACGAGATCTGCCGGCGACACAAAGACTGCGACGCGCTGTACCGGGCCACGGTGCTGACCACGGGCACGCTGGAGAGCGACGCGGAGTGCGGCCCGTGTTTACCGGGGTCAGGACAGTGTGTGTGTGTGTGTGTGGCGTTGGTTCCGGATGTGTGTGTGTTTTCCATTCATTTCTTCCACAGGGATTAGAGAACAGCCTTGAACCAAATTAATCTGAACATTACAAACTTTGATGTGAAGCAAAGAGTATTTGAAAATCGCACACACACACACGCTTGCTCACTCACACACACTCAGAGACAGGCGCACACATGCTCACACACACGCTTGCTCACTCACACACACAATCAGACACACGTTCACACACACACGCTCGCTCGCACACACACACACACGCACACACTCAGACAGGCTCACACACACACTCAGACACAGGGGCACACATGCTCACTCATTTA